GTCGGCTAGAGAATCCATTATGTCAATGAGCATCCTTGCAAAGACAGAAGTACGTGTGTGTGTGTGTGTGTGTGTGTGTGTGTGTGTGTTTTGAAACTGCATGATAACACCAGTAGTAGAAATAGTAAGAGACTTTTACTCCATAATGCAATGAGAGGCAGTAGTGATCCATTGTATTACATTTCTGCTCATCTTGTTATTGCTTCAATACAAAAAGCTTGTATGCAAAGTATATCCTGTCTTCTTGTTAAGTCAACAGATGTCACCAGAAATTTAGAAAATCTGACTGGCATGATTTGTTTTTGGAGTATTTTTCCCAGAAGGGACAAGTTGATAGAAATTTGCAACGATCAACAGCTCACTACTACTGGAGCATGCCGTGGCTCATTCTGGGCTCACGTCTGTGGGGATAATCAAAAGAGTTGTTACAGCCTGTGAGAAACACAGAGCTTTGCTATTTCACACTTTTCTTGCTATTAAATTGGTGTAATTTTGGTATCAAACCCACTCTTCCTGGAGACCTGAAATGTGGCTGTGGAATGTTTGATTAAATTCAGTTAATGGATTCCAATTGTGACCAGTTTCACAGTGGGTAAAAAGCGACAAATGACCATAAAAAGTCTTGCAGCACTATCCACTTCTCTGCTGTCCATCTGTATCCTCAGTATGTTCCAGGCAGTCGTATCTTTGCCAAAGCCCTGCTAAATTTCCATCTCAGTCCCAACAAGCTGTATTCCATGACGGTAAAGAGATAATAGCTGCCCCCTTGCTCATTACATTCAGGTTATTGTTGTGATCTCTGTGTCTGCTGGGATTGGTCAGTTTGATCAACTCTAACTCAGCATGTGTGCTCGCACATGCATATGACAGATGTTTGTTGACTCACTTTTAGGGCTGCAGGATAAAGTGTTTGTGAGAGAATGACAGGAAGAAAGAGAGAGACAGTTTCCACTTAACATTTCACACTTGGCTGTTGTTTTGATAGCCAATTTACAGTATTGTAAAATGTGGCTGCGTCAGAATTATTTTGGTTATTTACTGTGTGGTCTGTAACTTCGGCTTTTAGCTGGGTGCTTGATTCTCCATTGCATTTCATAGCAGATATGAGTCCATGCTTGGTTTGTTTTGTTTCTGCAGACAGAAACATGCATTCATTTTTGCCTTTGTTTGTTTTTGTTCTTTAAACCACAATTATTGCACAGGCATGGTGTCCCTTTTTTCATTCATTTTGTTCCTTTTTGTGCTTTTTTCCTTGAGTCGCTGTGTGCCTGTCAATCACAGAAAAAACATAATTCAGTTTAAAATATATATTTTTTAGAAGTGTAGTCTATAGACATACATGACAATATATGGCATGAAAAAAAGAGTAATGCTACTGTTTAAGTGTGTGTGTTTATTTATTTATTTTTTTAATGATGCACTTATTTATCCTCTATTTAAACCTATTCAATCAAAAACTGCGATCCGGCAGAATGCCTGCTGTTCATATAGTAATAGAATATCTGAAGTGCACCATTGCTGCTTAAGTGATATGTTTGTATTAGTTTCCATTTTTACAAAGAGAAAAAGGATGAGCATATTTTTTCATCTTTAGCGCCTCTTCCTACCCAAGGGAACCAATGGTTGTGGCGATCACCAGAAACATGCCTGCCAATAATCTTGTCTGACATTGCATTTGAATTTGTCTAAATGTGAACAAACACTGGTAGGATTCATTTAATTAACACATCCAAATCAGTTGTGACTAGTTTGACTGGTGAGGCTTAATATTCCAGTTGTCAGGTCTTGTGCACATACTGTACCTGGAAGTGCATGTGGGTGCTTACCCATGTGCTCACTTGTCTGTATCTTCCAGGATGATGTGACATACCACTAGATTTTATTTACCAACAGCCTGGCGCATCACCCTGCAGGCACCCTCCATATAAAAGCTGTGATCGCTCTGTTCGCTGTCTGCTTGCACCCCTCGCTGTCTCTGTCTCACACTCAGCCTCTGTGCTCACCTTATGTGACTAGCTAGCATCATTTCTATTCATTATTTGAAAAAGACTGGGTAGAAACAAATCCAGCAGGGCTAAGGCCATGCACACCTAAGGAAAGCAAGATGGAAGTTAGGTGTTGATAGTGACAAGGTTGGTAGGTAGTGGTAGCAGTTTGATGATCACCCGCACCCTTTTCGAGGCAGCCCTGTGCCTCGCTGCTAAGCGGGGGCTCTTTGCCAGTGCTCACAAAGTCTGTAATGAGTTTATTTCACGTCCGCTGTGAAAGTGCCCATCTCTGTCTCACAGGCACTCAAACAGAGCTGAGGCCCATAAACACAAAGTGCCGTGTGTAAATCCCCGTAGCCTGATGTCTCCCAGCCTGCCCTATATTAGCTTCTGAGCATCACTGTGTGGATAGGGAGAAGGAAAAGAGGAGATCCCCACTAACCCCATGAGAGGACACCATGGCCCAGCCCAAAAAACACTTGTATTATAACTTCTAACTCCTCCTTACTTACTTACTCTGGTCTCTTTGGAGAATGCGTGTTTTTTCATGTCGAGAGCAGACCTGAGCAGAGATGATCAAACACTCAGCTACTGTACAGCACATGCTGTTTGTTGTAACAAGCAGCAGATCAAAAACAGCCAAGTGATTTGCTTTGGCTCGCTACAGCGCACCTCTGACGAAGAGGACATCAGATGCGTGCTTGCCATGACGTCAGCCGGCCTAGCTCGCCCTCCTCTGCTGTCCAGTCACCTTCTCTCGATGTCGATGCAGTGCAAAACACTGCGCTTGTATTCTCTATACAAACACGGGTCAGTGTCTCTACACAAGGACTGTGTAGAATGGTGTCTTCCCAGGGCACTGGACTGAGTAGTAGGTCACCGATTATAGAAGCAGAGTGAAAGAGGAGTGAGGTGGAGATATCGAACGAGAAAGGGGAGTTTCTATCTCTCTGTGTTGAGTCCATGTTGAGGGATTAGTGTGTGAGGCTCCACCACAGCCTCCTCTGTGGCTTGTTTCCAGATATTATCTTTAAGTGTAAGCCTGACGCCAACCTGTCTTTCTCTCTTCTGTTTCCCTCTTACACTTCCGCTTTCCTGTATGAACTCATTGGTGTGAGTCATCCCAGGCTGCTTGGGGAGTGATTTAATTGCTTTCTTTCCTCCTCCTTCAACATGCACGTCTCAGAGGGGCCTGTCACTGACCCTTCCACTCTTACAAAAACACCAGCGACCTATTCATTACCACAAAGGTTTGTTCGTCTCTAAAGACAGTCAAAATACAGACTCCAGACATTTTCCTGGTTATCCCTATTGATGGTGACATAATGCTGCCTGCTCTTGCCGTTCTGTGGCCCTGCTCGGTGAATGTGGGCACAATATGGGGTGAAAGAAAACCCCCACAGCAGCAGAAGAGTGCTTGTAATCACAGTAAAGGAAAATACCCTCTGCCATTTTCACTGTGGGGGTCAGAGAATTGTTTTGTGACTGGCTTTTGGAGTAGAGATGTTGATTTGCTCCAGGTCAGAATAGGATTTTCTTTCAAAATAAACTATAACCAACCTCTGAACCTGTGACACATTAATAGCGATTATGATGGCAAAACAGCCAGTTTTGTTTACAGTTTTCATGATGTTTCCTGATTCTATTGCTGTTTGATGTAACACCTGGAGGAATTAAACGTTGTATCTCTTTTTTTTTTATTCATTACTTTGTATCACAAGGATTTTAAAAAACGTATCACAGCTCAGTGCACTGGCTGTAATCTGTGCATTTTTAGCTCTGCAGTAGGTGGCACTGTTCCTGCAGAGGAGCAGGTCAGTCGGGGGGTGATGTGGAGAGTTTGCCTCCATGGGCTGAATGTGACTGAAAACAGGTCTGCCTTGACTTGGCAATGCCGGTCCATACATGAGCCCTCTCAGATGAAAGACTTGTTTGTTGTTAATTGCACCTCAGCAGCAGTCAAATCGCCTTCATAGCAAAGTGATTCAGCGTTGGCTGTGTGATAGACAGAACTCAAAAACAGGTGAGGAGGCTAAAAGGCCACTGTGATTTGAACAATTAGAAGTTCTGAGCATAGAGCGTACTGCTGCAGGGACAGACTGGCTTTTTCTCCCCTGCGATGCTGAGAAGTGTCTCAGAGCTGTATAAGAGCAGACAGGAATCAATGGAGAATGCTGACTCTTGAGAATACTATGGATGTACTCTGGACTGCCTGAGATGGTATATGGAGTATATGGATGCCATATACTCTTTGCTGTTGGGCTAGTCTAGACAAACAATACACACACACACACACTTGGGCAGATACTCTGAGAAATCAACAATCTTTGATTAGAGGCGTTTGGTAGGAAGCAAAGTCATTTTCATTTTCACAAAAACACACAAAAGAGTTTTGCTGCAGTTATTCCCCTCTACCAGATTTTTTTATTGAACTAGCTATTTGACTAAAGTCATACAGATGTTGCTTTCATCACTGAGTTTCAGTGCACTGAGCCATTGCCAGGAGGCAAAGCCTACAGGAACACAAAGAAAGCCCTAATGCTTTCTTCCAGATCCCTTCTCCTCTTCCCTGTGTCACACGCTCCCTGCTACCATTGCTGCACAAACAAAGTCGATGGTTCTGAAGCATATATTTCAAAATGCTGCATTGATTCATTTTCAAAGACATTCAAATTTGAGTGGGTGTCAGTCTGTCACAGCACACAGAAGTAATGCTGTGATTCAGTGGATACAGTATGTTTATGCGAGACCTGGGCCAGATAGCATTTACTAATACTGTTATCTATTTTAGTCTACCTGACTAAAATAGATAACACAGTGAAGGCTTCTGGGTTTAGTTGATTGCAAAAAAGTTAAAAAAATATATATTTTTAAACATTTTTAAAAGAAGTTGTGGTTGACATTTTACCTCACTTCCTCTAACATTTAGCAAACAGCCTTCTAAATGAATAATTCAGTTCAGTTTTTCATCTGGTGACATCACTCATATATGTCCCTCCTCCTTTCTTGTAGCTGTAATGGAAGTGCAAGTCCCAGAGCAGCCAGTGGTGGCGCTACATGGCAGCAATGCCATGCTCAACTGCTCCTTCAGCCACACCGGACCCTTCAACCTGTCTGGTATGAGCATCTTCTGGCTGCTGACAGACACCAAACGCAGCGTGCACGCGTACCGGGACGGACGTGACCAACTGGTGGACCAGGCCGACAGCTTCGCCAATCGTACAAGCCTGTTCCCTACCCAGCTGGCCCTGGGCAACGCTTCGCTCCTGCTGAGCAAAGTGGTGGTGGCTGATGAAGGCAGCTACACCTGCTTTGTCAGGGTGCATGAGCATGGTAGTGCGGCTTTGCTGCTGCAGGTGGCTGGTGAGTCGAGCTGTGATGTCCATGACACAAGTCGAAACAAACTGAACATGCACATGGACTGTTGCAACCAGGAAATGAATAGGCGTGCAGAAAATGAATACACACTTACACAAAAAACTGCATTGGTTTAACTGCTTTATCACTGTCGACAGTGACAATACCTCAAATCCCACCTGACATGTTCGAGCCAGAATATGAAAGTGGACAGCAGGACAAACTGCAACAGCATTAGTTAATTAGAATTTGTCCTCCACTGAGAAACCCCATATTTTAACTGGCATAATGCAGACATAGTAACTACTCCAGCCTTACAACCTTACGGCCACATAACATTCCCACCAAGTAACCTTGAACCGACAGTAACATCATGGAGTGTAAGAATCCTCTGGCCAACGTGCGGCATACACATGACATGGCATTATCTGTTGTCTGACAGTAGAGCCTGATAAATGTTAACAATGTGTAGGCCATAACCTATGTAAGTCTTCAAAATAGTTCAACAAAATCCCTTAATTACGTTTCGAGTTATGCCATGAACAAGCCAATAAAAATGCAAACAAATGCTTGTAAAAACATAAATAGTGTTTAAAGGTTTATTATTCTGTTCTGCTGATCAGATAGACAATGAATAAATGCTCTTTCATTGGCTAGTATTAAAATTGACTGCATTTAAAGAGATTTGACCTCGCTAGTTATACACACATACATTCATTCCTTCATTCATTTTCTACCGCTTAATCCCTGAACGGAGTCATGGTGGGAGTGGCCGGAGCCAACCCCAGCTGGCAATCGGGTGAAGGCGGGGTACACCCTGGACAGGTCGCCAATCCATGCAAGTACACACATACACTAGTATGAAATTAGACTTGTATGTTTAACAATATCACTTACTAGAGATTTAGAATCATGTTTTCTCACAGCATGTAAAGAGGTGATGAACAGTCTCCTCCAGGCTGCTGAGCAGTGTTTTTGGTCAATATGTACTGATTGTGGTCTCTGTCATGGTCAATACCTGATTATTAGCTGTTGTTATGGTCAATCAGCCATCACTAACATCTTCTCTGCTGTGTGACTACACCGCCCACCCTCCTTCCTTCTCACATTTTCATATCTGTTGTGAGATTTTCCCAGTATTCTCTGAGGGTGTATGTGCATTAGGCAGTCTTAATGAATAATATTTTTTTTTTCTCCTGGCTGGGGAGAGTGAAAACGGTGTGTCCAACAGTGACAAATCGGTCTCATTTTATGCATTAGATAGATGTTCTATTTTTAGCCAGCATTTGTACTTAACTTTGCAGACTTCCTTCATGCCGTGCTGGAAGAAAATGACGTGACCGTAGTTCTTGATGGAAATCTGCCTGTAAGTCAAATGGACAGCTGGAGTAGTTACTGTGTACCATGTGTTAAGAGTCCACTTTCAAAATGATTGTATCTCGCCTTCAGCTCTGCACCATTGTTTTCTGTGCACTGATTGGTTCTGGGAATACAGCAGCCACCTCTGTACTCGTGTTTTAGCACAAGGTGCTGGAAAAGTGTTATTTGAGCCGAGGCTGACGATTCACCCCTCACCTCCACCCCTCAGTGCTCTTTTATCTGCTATAGGCTGAGTCCTCCCAAATCTCTGATCCTACCACTTTTCTTCCCGTCCTGCCCACCTCCACCCCCTGGCTGGGAAGTGGCATCAGGATGTGCCACAGATGCTGTCTGTATCTGTGGGATCTTCACCACAGTGTTATGCTAAGCTCCCTAAATATAATTAAGAATTTAATGGGAATCATGTCAAACAGTTCCCTGGGTGACTCTCACTGCAGAGAATGTAACTAAATTCAGTTTGTGTCTGCTGCTCTCCTGTTCTCTCCCTTCCCTCACACACCCCTACCTCTTTTTCTCCTCCCTCCCCTCCTGAATCTTCATCCATCCCCTCCTCCTCCTTCTGTGTATACCTACTGTTTTTCTCAGCCCCTTACTCCAAACCTGTGGTGACTTTGGAGCCTGAATCCAACCTCCGACCAGGTGATGAGGTGGCCCTGACTTGTATGGCCTACGATGGCTATCCCGAGGCCAGTGTGATGTGGCAGGATGGGAACGGGCGCAATCTTACGGACAATATCACCACTTCCCTGGTGGCCAATGAGGAAGGGCTGTTCACCATGACCAGCGTGCTGACAGCTGTGCTAGAGCCCAATAGCACCTACAGCTGCCGACTGATCAACCCACTCCTTGGCGAGGAGGGCTATGCCTTTGTCACAGTCATAGGTGGGTGTGGCTCTTCATCTCTATAAATAGCTTCTAGATCATTCAGTCAATGCTGTCACCTCCACTGTGATATAAAGTAAACATACTGATAGTCACTGGCTTCCTGCAGTGTTTGAATGTTAGTAGCTCAGACTAATCTTCTTTGTAGTCATGCACAGACAGTTTCTCATTAAAGTTTTGTATGCTTTTGTGAATAAGTCTGTCAGTTGAATTTTATGCTGGAGTGACAACTTTTTTTTTGTCTTTCTAAGTCCCGCTATTTCCAGCGAAGAGTACCAGCTCGACCCAAAGAAATGAACGAGAAATAATGAAATGTCCGATAAGCATAACCCCTCAGTTCTTGTGCATCATTAAATTAGATCAGCTTGAGATTATTTCCCTGAAGATAGACAAATAGCTATTCATTGCATATTTCACAAGGCTGTGTCATGTAATAAAAGACTGTGCATGCTGGAATGATAGGTTTATTTCTACTGGAAATACTTGCTATCCAGAAGTAGGCTGATATGTTTGCCTTTCTCTGAATATTTGATGTTATCTTGAGCTAGGTGTGTTTCGTTCTCTCTGTGATAGCTCTAATGATCTCCTCAACCCACCCATCACCATCACCCACTGGCCGTGTCCCCCTGGTCCTAGTGGTGTACTATATGTGTTAAGTGCAAGGAGAGCGCCGTGTAAGGTGGGCCGAGGCAGGGTCTCTAATGGGAGCAGCGCTGTGTGAAATGGCTCATAAATAAGTAGAGGTGGCAAGAGTCTGCTCTCTGGGCTGGAGCTGGTCCTGGAGCTTAGGCTGTTGAGGCGGAGGTCGAGGCAGAGGTCAGAGAGTGCTGCTCCACTGGGCTGGGAAATGACTGTGCTGTCTGGAAACAGGATGGCCGATTGGCAGGGCAGGCGTACTTGGCGGCTGAGGGAGGATGGCCTTTCTAATGGTTTGGTTGGCCTCTTTCAAAACAGCACAGATACCCAGGCATAGGGACTAAACAAAATGTATTAAACACATGGTGAGAATGAAATACTGCCTTTGCTGGATTGATGCACTATCTCAGGTTTGGTTGAAAGTGGCGCATATAATAATTTTATTATCATTTCATGCCAGTGTTTTGTCTCCTTTTATTTATTTATTTCAGTTCTATAAATACATTTTTTATTTTACAAAAACAAAAAGATTGAGTCATCTGGATTAGTAATTTAGAGGGAGGTAATGTTAAACAGTGGCTTTTCCAATTTCCATAGAATTTAAAACCACACATTTTAAGCCAGACAAACTCTACAGGTTGGTTCTTTGATGTTCATTTGGAAAATTTGACAGTTCATCTTAAATTATCCTACTATTAGATGACTTCACAGTGCAAGGCTTGGAGGATTGGCCTTCAAGGATGTGACAAACAGTTACTTGTCAGCTACAGTTGGTCACCTGTTGTGTTGTGTGAACAGGTACAGCTCACCTGGTAAGAGCTAGTGTGGTAATTGGGATTGGAAAGGACCAAAGTAATTACATGATGTGTACTGGGCTGCATATTGCAACATTTTTGTAGTGTAACTTTTTATTTGGATGAGAAACCTCTTCCATAGCCTTATCAGTCCCTGTTTATGTACTACCTAACAGTCCATGATTAGAGCTGAGTGCATCTGGACTTTCACCTGGACAGGATTCTGTCATCAGGGACTTAGAACGTGGCAGGTGAAGCAGACTATCTGAATGGTTTTGAGAATTGCCTCTGCGCCCTGGGTTCGAATCAGGGTTGCGTCAGGAAGGGCATCCGGCGTAAAACACCTGCCAAATGTCAACATGCGAGTCGTCAGTGTGACGATTCGCTGTGGCGACCCCTAAACGGGAAAAGCCGAAAGTGACTTTCTTTCTTACAGTAGACAGAAAGACCTGTCATCGCCTGCTAGCTGTGAATGTTCTTTCTTTTTGTTCCATTTGAGCTAACAGTTTGTCATTCATTTCGCCTGTAGGTGGCAATCGCATAAAATTAGGTTTCAGAAGCCCAGATACATAACCACTGAAATCATTAAATACATTATCTGAGCTGTGTGTTATAGGCTTTGATTTCCAATCTCAACAAAAGAGGAATCTGTCTGAATGGCTATGACCAAGAACAAAACGGACTGAAAAAAGATGTCTGGCTAAAGAGCAGTGGCGCTTTTGAAGTATGATGACATCAGCATTAAAAGAGTAACAGCCAAGAAACGCATCCACAAATAAACTGGGGAAAACCCTTAATTAAAACAGTGGTGATCATGATTTTCAGCAACTGGGTATACAGCACATGAATGAGTGTAATTTCTCAGTAGGGGCACCAGCACAGCTTGATGGTGGCCCAGGTTGTTATTAAACACGCAGAAGATTTACAGTATTTTGTGCACTGTGATACAAGGAGACCTGTTTTGAAATTAAAATGTATTTGCATTTGTTTACAACAGCTGGCGTGTGTTTAACAGCTTTGTAATTAATTTTGACCCAGCAGAACTCTTCTGCTGGAGTAGCAGAGTGTGGCATGTGCCAAGCTTGAGCTGATATAGCGTGCACACTTGCTTGACATGTACACTTGAAAACACACCACACACAAGCAGCAGAGAATACGTCTGAGTGAAATCTGCTTCAAATTCTAAATGGACTGTGACTATGGGGAGAGAGACATAGGGCAACAAAGCGTGAACAAGTAGGTGAAAATTTCACACTCGTCACAATCTCTGATTGAAAAATTATTGCAATTGTAATATAACTCTCACCCCAGGTAGAGCAGGAGTTTGACAAGGTTAATTCTGAGAAAATGAACTCTTTACCTACACTGATCAGAGCACTCTGTGGGCTGGCATGATGAGCTATACTCTGAGAGTCTGTGTTAAGTCACCCATGTTAATCTTACCTCTTTTATAGTCGGAACCAATTATCTACTTCACAAGAAAGCTCTCCCGACTGTCAACAACATATGCACACAGTACATTATTATCAGAGACACTTATTACTGTAAACATGTCCTGCAGGGTGCTGGTCAGTTTTAAGCCTAGCTCTGCAGTGGGCAGTGTTTGTGCACTGCTGGTATATTGGTAGATTTAGCAGAGTGCAGCATGGCTTAGTTGCAGGGAAAACCTTTGGAACAGCTGGTATTAACAAACAGTCAAATAATGGAAGGGAGCAGCTTCAGTCCTCAAACTATGGCCTGTCTGCTTGCCTGGCCAACAAGCTTGTGTACCAGCCCCCTCCTCCTCCTCCTCCTCCTCCTCCACCTGTCTTGATGGCTCGCACTCACAGCTTCTTCTAACCTCTTTGTTCTCCTCAAAAAGAATAATGCTTTTGGAGTGTTGGATAATCAAGGGTCTACATCTTGTCATTTTTTTACTGATCTATTGCTGAATGTGGAGCTTCCTATCTACTTGGAGCTGTGTGATTGCAGTGTGTTGTCTCATGGCTTGGTTTCAGGGTCTGTCGCTGCACACACCCTCCAGCACCACCCCCACTCCGGCTGCTTGCTTTCTCAATGAGGATGGTGCCACTTCCCCGGCATCACTTTGCTGGCGGAGCATTTACAGTGAACAGTGCACAAAAGGAGATAGAGTGGGGGAAATGGAGGCGATAGAGAGATGAGACAGGGCGATGGAGAGGGGGAGCTCGGAACACAGAGTTATGAGAGGTGAGAAGTGGATTACAGAAAACAAGATGGAGACAAAAATGTTTGCTGAGCTCGAAGTTGTGGCGCTACGACCTGACGGGTAGGAGATGGGCCCACTGATGGGAGGGAGATCATCCCATGTGGTGTAGTAGCCTGCTGACTTTTACTATCCAGCTGGCATTCTCTGGCTCAGTGGTTAGTACTCCAGTGTCACAGTATGAGGATCCCAGATTTGTTTCCAGTTTCAGTCCTGGTATGCTTTCACCTTGTTTCCAGTATGTGCTTATTTCCTCACACATTCCAAAGAGACAAGTGAATAAATGTTTTCGAAAGTCCCAATTGCCAAAAGTTATGAACCCTGGCTATCTATATATATTTTGGTCCACGAAATGTTAGCTTAGATCAATGACTTGATTTTACCACTCAAGGACAAATTCCGATTTTCTCATGTGTGACCTAAGAGTATTTCATTGATTTACCATTGCACCCTTTTAGCATTGCTGGACTCACTCTGGACAGTATAAAAAGTAACAAAATCAGTGCAGCAGAACTAGAGAAATTGTCTTCTTTAGCCAGTTTATTCTTCTTCCTTGTCAAAATTCAGCCCCTAATGTTAACCACGATGCAACTGAACTACTGACAGTTCTTTCGGACATTTGGGTGTGTTGTGCTAGTGGCAGCTTATGTAGCCTCAAGCAAAGAGATGAGGGCCAAGCTACAGTGGTCTGGTAAGCTCGTTACTTTAAAACTCCACACTCCCAGATTTTTTTTTCCACTTTCAAACTTGTAGTCTTTAGCCCCAGCTGACCCTAATTCAAATGACATCACTTGAGGCAATTTATCAGACTTTGCACAGCTCTTCACACTCTGCAAAGCCTGTAAATGGACTTGCAAGTGTTCAATCAATGGAATTCCCCTTTAAAACAATTCTCACTTCTACGTGT